AATTCCAAACCAGAAAGTTATGCCAGGGGGCCGTTTTGTACAGGTCCGCCTCCTTTTGTATTTATTTCTCACTGATTTTCCGGATTCAAGTACTTCAGGAGGTAAATTAGAGTTCTTGATGCTTATCATGAAGGCGTTATGAAATATCGCGACCGGCGTCATCGTAATTGTACAATATTCCTATGGAAACGACACACAAAATTAATTGATGCATAGAAACAACGGGAATGTCAGTGACTATGTGACAATGATCGAACGGAAAGCAACAACACGGCCGAATTTGAAGGCCCCGCCAATATATAACAACGATGTTCACGATTTGGGTCGAAAATAATTAATAGCAATCACCAAATGTTTTGGTGTTGATTTTTGAACGTTATTGGTTTTAGATTACTTTAGGAATGAAATCGGATTGCGTTTATTTTACACGCACAATGCTCAGGTACCGATAGCCTTAATCATTAACCCTTTGAATTAGAGGTCTCGGTAATAGCATTTAAGTTAATGTTCTTCCGTTCACAAAAAACTTTATGAAACATTTAATTGTTGTGCAACGAGCACAAAGGGAGTAATGCCTTATTTAGTGCACACAGGGGATGAAAATTCTGTGCAGCCATGTAAATGGAATGTTTATTCTTCTCTACAAAGGGCTCTTGGTTTCGGAAGGGCAACTGATTTGACTTATGTACTATCCAAAGAGTTTTGTTACGGTAGACGACCTTTAGTAAAAAGACTTTTTCTTTGGAAACACCCGGGTACTTTTGCACATAATCCATTTCAACACAGAGTTTATCATCCACCAACGTTTAGGTTTATGTAATTGAAGCCACAGTCATTATTGCTGTGATTCGTAACCATGATAATGGTCATTGATATTTCACACCTCACTTGTCACTCCTGCTTCTACCTGGGGCTGAACATTTCCGCACAATTCAACGAGCAGGATTTGGACAATGTAACGTGGGTCCGAGCCCCGCGGCAAATTTTGACACGCGGAATATTCCGCGTCACTGAGGATACACGGATATCCACAGCACCTCTTGTAAGTTTCTGTTCTGATCCTTGTTACAGATTTCAGAGTGCAGCGCTGGTTTTAAAGTAAGCCATGCCTTATGATCTTCTCATAAAAATCGATCGGCTTTGAACTAGTGATAAAAGAAACTTTCTAAAATAATTGTGTCTTAAAACCGTTAATTTTCTGAATCCTGAAACCTGTTCACCAGTATCTGTATTAGTGCGATTTTCTGTAGATGGAATGTTTCAAAATAGAATGTTTCTTATGTAAGATCGAAACGGAATTGATACTTAGCTATAATCTTTGAATGCAAATTACCTCGATATATGTTTTATAACCTGTGTCAGTGTAAATGGCTTTGCTTGATGTGCTCACATTCAAATTGTTTTGATTTACTAATATCATTTCTTAAAGATCTACTGCGTTATTGATTTCAGTGGTCGAATGTGGACGGAGAGGTTGAAATGTGTGGTTCCTGTGGGAATTCCTTTCTTCCTGTATATGATGAGATCAGTTACTGATTTAAAACTAGATAGTAATCCGCCCCATAGAAATACTTTTGCTCACTTATTTCGTTCTCAACAGAGTCTGCAGAACTTAGTTTTATTCCGGGGGTTGATAAGCGGTGGTTGCACATTTCTTCGGAGGTAGACGTACACAAATGCACTGCTATCCACAACGTCACGCTTGGATTTTTTTTTCTGGCACCACGACAAACGCGCAGTTGCAAGTGGGACATAATCTATAAGAACCATTTTCTCAGGGTTAGGTTTATTCCGCATTGGTAGCTATCAGAATGTCTTAGCACAAGTAAGCAATATGATGTCTTACTAGATCTAGTACGAGGCACATTCTTCGAGATTTTCTGATTTGGTCTTTGTATGCCAAATCTTCCAAATATGTTTCGATGGAGGCCATTTTTCAAATACTTCGCTCAGTGTTTGAAGATATATCTCATTTGGACGTATAGAAACGTTGGCTAAACTGTCTTGCGAAAACTCGAACAAAATTCACCTAAATAACAATGGGATGTTTGACATGTGCAAAGGTTGTTTGGAGTGGTAAATGGATAACCAATTACTATCTGCCTGTTGTCTATATGGATCAAGTTGTTGCAAGAAAAAAATGAGCAAAATGGTTAGCACTGCATAATACATGTACATATTTTGCTCCCAGTTGATCCGGACTATTGGCTTCTCATTAGGTTGCTTCCGGGAACGGAAGAAACAGAAAGGAAAATGGTGATTTCCCATCCTTGTTAATTGCCGGTAACAAATTATATCAAAGTATCATTTTTGTGAGTAGGAGAATTAACTACACCATTCTATTATTGTTTATTTTGATTGACCTCGGAACGGTACTTCATATACAAGGGCTCTATCATTATTCCCTCATTCGCTAACCATTTTTGTTTTATTTGTGGATGATTTAGTTATTTTAGTGTTTCAATCCTCTGTGTTTGAGAGAACAGTTCCTAACACTGTTACACGTCCTTGATGAATACGAAATTATATATATAATTTTATTGAGTTCAGAGCCATTGGGGCGTGAAATGAAAATCTAGAAATCAGTAGACAGTTATTTCAACTAGATGGGGTTTCACCATACAATTGTTAATTTCAACATAGCCATCTACACCGGATTTGACAAGTTTTAGATGCTGTTTGATTTAGTCTGCTGGCATGAAATTATGAAAACAAAATGAAAACAAAATTTATGCAAGAGTCGCGGTTCGGTTGAAAATATTTTGAACAAGATTAATTATTATGAAGGAGGAATGGGAGATTTGGTTGAATTTTGTGGTGAATTCCTCCGGTGCAGAGCAAACGAGGCACGGACTGAAAAGCTGGAAACTACTGTACATATGCTTTGATCTGGTTGAGTTTCATTTACAGTACGAACTCATCGGCCGGATCCCTGCACCTCATATGTGGAATGCACGGATACTACCCGCTTGACAACCAGGCAGCTGCTCGGGCCATTCTTCATGTGACCTTCAAACTGCGTTTACTTTCCTCATCACCCAGTTGTAACTGCGGTATTTAATTGCATATTGGTTTCAGTTCATTTTTTCATTAGCACAGACCCAATGATGATCGAGTGGTGGAAGACATCAGTTTCATAACTATTATTTTGTGTTCGAGTTTCGCTGCTGCCTGCTATTTCTGCTACTAGTTTACTCTATATATCATTATTCCTTTCTCAGTAATAACCATCGTGATAATCGATTTTAATTGTGTCTCATATTTATTAGTTTGGGTGGCAACAATAAAAATTTCCAGAAAGCAATACTCGTGCCATGTGAATTACGAACAACAAATGAACGCAAATTTTGAGGATAACAGAAATGTACGTAAGGCAAATTATTGTTATATCGTGAACAGTAATACCACTGACGGATTGGTACCAATGTCGACATTAGCAATTGGGGTTACCCAGAGTCATTGACAAATCAACCCCCGCCCCCGCCTGGGTTCAATGACAATAATGGATTCAATCATGAAATGCTTATAGTTTTACTTTCGAAGTGAAAAACAATTTAATGAATAAACTGACGATAACGGAGGAGGTACATGGGACCGGACACGTTATTCACAAGCACCTGAAAAGCAGTTCGTCCCTTAGAGTTTTGGCTTTAATCCCTATGAGATTCTGACTTTCTGATGAGGTCAGCCCGAGTCCTCTGATGGTACGAGTAACCACGATCTTGAGCCAAATGATATGAACCTCATTGCTTACTGGAAATAGAAATCACAAGGCTGAACTATATAATAGTCCGCTGATTAGTGACTTCTCTTCTGAAAACCTTATCATTGTGTATCCAATGAAAGCAAGTAAAGAATAATGACAAAAGGAAGTAATAGCCGACTCTAAGCAATAAATTAAAGTGATGCACCCAAGGTTGGGTAGTTTTATTTGGTTCTTGCTGAGAATTGAAAGATTGGGTTTGTCGTGGAATGTGAGTTTGACTTGCACATACCTGGCTCAAAATATTTCACAATGCATGGATAGATAGTGAAGTAAAGCTTTGGTATAGAGGCTTAAGGGGAATACCCATTACGTGTATGACGTTGCAGAGGTACTGAGGGTGTCCTTAGAGTAACGGGATACCAGACTGATTATGTTTGTTACAACCGTGGTTTAATCCCAAGGAAAAACGTCTGAATCTATTTAATCTAACCGCTCGATAAATTCATAAATACCCAAACACACCTAATTGTTAACTGGTGTTCAGCACCGGGCATGTAATATTTTCCTACGGATGTGAATATGGCTTTTGCAAACTTGCATACAGTTATCGAGTAGGGAACGCATCAACCCAAAGACCGTGGATGGCCCAGTATGCGTGCATTCAGGATAAGCTCAGCTAACTGCCTAAAATTGCTTAGTTTTCGAAGCATTGTGCTGGGCTGTGGGATCTGAGGGTGAAGGTGTATATCACCTACAGAGGTTGATGGGCCAATCCCATAGTGACAATTATTTTATGCACTATCTGAAAGCACTTCTCATTTAGGTGTCACATTTAAATGTGAAATAAATAATTGATAAGACTCAATTTCAAGTTTTCTTGCCACACATCTGACAGTAAAATAATCAATGTCAGTCCTTCTAATGATACCGACGGAATAAATGATACACAGGTCATAATGTTTAATTTCGATGCTAAAGGTATCTCCACCTAAACGGGTATCTCTCTATTAGGAAATTGGGAATTTAAAGGGGTAATAAATATAAGTTGTTTCTACTTGATGGATTACCATCACGTTTTTGTCCAACTGGCTACTCAACACGCGTAAGATGCATTCCTTTTACGACATTATTTTAGCAGTAGAACTAAAATTATGCTCTAATCGTTATTTCTTTCGGGTTAAGAAATCTTCGGGAGGAAGTTATTCATATTACCAATTAGAATTGGTGCATTAATGAGACATTTAATGTTTTTTTAAATTTTCTATGAAACATTCACGAAACTGCTGATTTGGCTTCATGGATGTGACAGTGCCTAAGAGTGACAAACGTATCACGGAGAGACCAACCCAGCTTCAGATCGGATTCACAATCACGTGCTAAGGGAAGGGATTTTGTTGTGGTCTTTTGTGCACACTACTAAATAAAATTGAGACATACCATAGCGTGACGGCAAGTCAACATTTCCCCACCACTTTGTTAGTCTACCACAATCACACAAAATATGCTGAAAGATAAGTTTGATTCGGTTGTCATGCATGTTGTCTGGCCCGCAAATTCCGTTTCGTTTCTGTTGCTGTAAGTCTTCGAGTCGGTCTTTTAAGAACAGATAACTGCCAACCAAAGAAGTGTATCAAGCCGCTCGGTTCGACATCCGTATAACTCACGTCTATCGACAAGTTTCACTAAGAGAACGGTAGTTGGATCACATAATAATCGTTTTCCGCAGCATCCTGAAATCTGAAACACGCAGAGCACAGATTTTCTAGCTTATCCAGTGTCGGATACACAAACTGATAAATATTCATCAATTGTTTGTCTGTGGGTTTGCGTACGGTTAGTCTTTCTCCAATGTTGTGTGAATTTGTGCACGCCTGGATCTGTCTGTTGAGACTCCACGATTAGTTAGATAGAACGTCAAGTGGATGGTAACACGCCATACGACCATTTATTGTTAACACAAACCACCATTGTGAAAAATCCAAGAGCAATAACAACTAACTGTAAGTAGACTCACGGAAAGTCAAAATACACACACACATTGACACACCGATGAGCAAATACCGATGTACTAACGTATAAGCACTTATTTGTGGATTGGTTAGTACTCTCCGCATCCGGTCGATATGTCCTCTGTTTCAGAAATATCTGGTGAATAATTGTCGGTAGGCAAAACACACAAATCACTGTTTTCATACACATACACCAGAAACATCGATGCATTGACTCACATCAGAAAACTTCTTATTTGCCATTACGTGCTGTCAACCTTGGTTAGGAGTTTTTGATCGTGACTGAATTTTCCAGTAACATGAACTCATCTCAAATGTAGGACATATAGTATTTCCTGGTTTTCCAGAGAATTTCAGAATTACGTCGTTCATGAAACGATGAAGCTTACAAAACCATCATTTTACGCTGAAAAACAAAATAATAGAACCGTTTATACTCACGCGAAATGGAGGCTCCATTAGAGGGTGATTAAATAAAACAATTCAACATTTTAAGTTCAGTCATCTTTTCCAATGACTAATTTAGACTAGATGCATGTCACAGCATGTAAAGGATGTTATTGCATACATATGGATTGTGAAATGAGAGGCCGCATTCATTCGGCTGTTTCCTTTGGTTCGGTCATCAACAGGTACAACTAAAAGCCATAAAATGTGTGACGTTTTAATGTCATATCTAACTAGTGCATCGAGTGCCTGTGAAAAACGTTCCTTACCAACTTTAAAACACAAGTTGTGAATGACCATTATTTAAGTCTCCGGCGGTTCATACAATTTGCAGCCTAATTTCAGAAGCTATCCCAATTAATTGTAGGAAGTGTTACCACCAGAAAGAATTATGGCCCAGCACAGTCATTGAAAAATACTCTGTTAGTTCCAACGTTTTTGTGAACAACTCGGCGAAGTAGCCCAGCCAAGAATCTTTTGCTTTTGAATTACTTATTCAACAGACTCTCTTATATTACAGTTAATTTCTTTTAGGAATAGACTTTAGTTGTTCCCAGTTCGTAAGTTTCTCCAAATGGCGGTTCGGTGAAAATCAACCCAAAGAAATTTTTCCTTGGATATGTCACTGATAGGTAACTGGAGGACTTGTAGGCGGAACTGAAGTTGATATTCATCCGTTTTCTTTCTACGAATGATTAATTTCATAAGTTCTGATTGAAAGTCTCACTATAGATGCGAATTTCACAAATTGTGTTGTTTATTCAAGAGCTTATCTGTGCAGTCAAAGGGACATCTCCGGCCGTAACATGACATTTAAGTGTCTCCGTAATGCACTTAAAGTCAGTTATAAGATTTTGCCGCCGGTACGGATGAGAAAACAGCACACTTACTTGTCGGCAGTTGAAGATCTAAATGCATATGTTATAATTTCACAAGTCGATGCTCGGTCAGAATAAGATTGTCATCCATACAATAAAATATCGCATTTGGAACAAGTTTACAGAATACCCGCACACACGCTGGATAGTTGATGGAACGATCCACTATCAGATGCGTATTCTTGTATTCCGCATACTGAACCGCAGCAGTTTGATCCAACAGGTCTTGTTCATTTTTGGTCGTTGAAAGAAACCGCTAATTGCATCCTTTTGCGTACCACTGACAAGTGAGTAGTATCTTACCACACTTCTCCCCCAGCGAAAATGAACTCTCCATGCAGCGAGCAACGACCTCTATCTTTTGGGAATTCGAACGGGTCCGTATCTGGTTGACAACTTCCTGTGGTTTCAGGATTCTTTTTTGGTGACCCGACCAGTAGGTTGATTTCTGAAGACTTTCTGGCATACAGCTATGGTCCCGGCGCCATCTATCGTGTTCACCTTGATACACACCTGTGTCGTCACTTATCTCCTGAAACATATTCATTGGAGTCTTCCTCATCCGAATTATACCTGAAATTCGCCATCTAGGGAATAACTTCGCTGATCCAAGGTTACCGATACGACCTTCAGCATGTTGCTTGGCTCTTTTAGAAGTGCACTTCGTTTCCGTTTCACCGACATTCTTACGCCCTCGTTGCTTTGTCGTGCAATCTGTCAAAAGTTTACATGTTCGTCGTATTCCCAACAGAGAGAATTCGATTTTGGGCTCTATTGATTCAAGGCTTGTGTTCGCCAACTGTCTTCACTTCCTCATTCGAGGCTTCTACTGACTCAGTTGATTGAGGTCCCGCCTTATGAACAGCAGCACGTGTATCAAACGAACATGGCACCTTCTGATTCCCCATCTCCATATTGGTCTAAACTGAACAACTATCAGCCATTCCGGAAGGATCATTATCTGGGAATACCGATTTGAACGAACTCAAGGGTTCTCTCATGCACCATTTGCGCTATCAGGTTTTTTCATCAATAAATCGAAGACGGCATCAAGACCATAAACTTTTTCGACTGGCTGTTCCGCGGATTGCTCTATCGTTTCCACCAAAATTTCAACATCGAAAATAAAATACAGAGATTGGGTTAATTAATAAAAATAATTCATTATTCAATAGAAATGCACAATACATATATCATATTGAGTTTAGGCGTATTCAATTCTTATAATATGGAATGGCATCTTCCCATTTGTTTTTGAATAGTAGCTAACAATTATGTCATATCTATAATTTAAGAAGAGAAAGAGTGCCAAGTTTTGCCAGCTGTGTATGGTGCTAAGAGCTGAAATCCCCTCTGACTGAAAGTTATTAGCAATAAAACTTCAGTTATACACCGCAACTCCCGTAGTTATTACTATAAAGTTGGTAATAATGGGTACAATTAATCCTTTTCTCTTTTCCTGTTTTTTTCTCATTACAGGTTCTTCTGAAGCGTCGCGACTTCAGTCTGTATATTCGTCCGGTGCTGTTCGATGATCGGGGCGAGTACCGATGTGCTATCGTTTTCAAAGATCGAGTTCACATTCGTACTGTGGAGCTACGTGTTTTGGGTAAGTTTTCGCTAGACTAGAGTAACTCGCGTAATATATGCAGCTGTTTTCAAAATCAAATGCGGAATGCCAAACACCTCTCTTGTATTGTTTATGCTTTTACCTAAATACTAAAATTTTCACATTGTGCGACTGTGAAAGTAATACACTTTTTGAGTCCAATGATGTCACTCACAAAAATGCACTTCTGACAGGTAGCGATTGAATTGAATATGGGATAACCTACAGGAAGTTAAGGACAACAGCATGGGTCTTGTTTTCCAGCAACAACAGGGATATTAACGAACAGGAAACCGAAACACAGGATCTGTCAATTCACAGGCAGGATAAATGAAAGATGTAATTGATTTGCGTTGCACAGTTTCCATCCACAGATATTTCAATGTATCTCCTCAACGATTGCATAACACACATGGTCACAATGAATTGACAAAGCTCCAGTTATTAAGTTCGCTATTGTGATGTGTTAACCAAGGCAACGCCGAGATCACGAACTAGACTGCAATCTTTGATTCGCAATTGCTTTAGCAAACTGTAGTAAGCGTAAATTTGTGTTGAATAGGGTCAATGACCGAGTCGCCTCAACAACAGACAGCCAAGTGGTTCTCAGAATACCACAGCCACTAGCCAACAACCTGACGCCCTGGAGTATTACAGATAATTTCGTCTTAGTGGAGTCTCTCGATAACATTGATATTAAAGACCGATATCTATCCAGCATTGTGACGCCACTGTTCACTGACGTGCCCTTTTACGGAGCATTCGATTTCATTTGTGATTGTATCTGCCAATCCAGCGACGGAAAAGAAGCGTCACATTATGAGGTCTACTGAAAACGTATTTCAATTTTAGGGCAGATTTTTCTAGTTCGAAGTTGAAAAGAAACCATAGCGGCGGACATGTTCATGGTCAACAGCGAAACAGTTCTATGGAGGATGTCCACGACATTCTTACAATCATGAGCTATGAACGGAACTCCACCAAACTCTTCCAAAATTCATTACCGTCCACCAAACTAAATCTCTCTGTCAAGCATGAAGAACATAACAGCTTCGGATTTCTGGATTGATGGATTAACAGACATCAAGAAGTTATTGTTCGTCGCTATGCAGTGTACTGTGCACATACAAGGTCGGGCTAGAACTTACACGTGGCAAACTTTGTGCCGCTGAACTAATGTCAGAACAATGTTCAAAATAGCTCACAAAATGTATACGACCGACAAACTGACAAAACAAAACAGTTCCAATGAGCAACAGTTTCCGGCCCAGTGGTTGCCTAAAGGAATTTGTAGAAATATTGCACTGCACATGAACCAAGAGAACTGATACTATCAGTTTCATAAATGCAAGATTTACGTGCTACTGACATTCACGGGCGACGACATCGCTGAGTTGTTTCCACGCTGTCTCAGATCGGTAATCAAGCAGTCATGTCATCGACTTTGTCCTGATTCACATATACCGACATACACTCTTCTCCCAGTTAACGGGCTATCACCAGTTCATACCAAATAACAAACACTTCCTGTGCATGTTTGGGTGATCTGTCCCACATATAGGCTGAACTGAACGGTAAATTTCACTAAGTAACTGACACATGTCCCACGGTGGGTGTACACTGATATCAACCAATGGGACAAAGTTCAAAAGTCACTGACAAGACAGCTACCAGCCTTGTCTAACACACACCTTCTGCTGGAGACAAAGCATCGATTTGGAAGCACTACTGCTATCTCAGTTATTCTGTGCCCACTACACCTTACTGAAGCGATTGTGATTCGAAGGTAGAAGTCTGCACTGTGAAAAACGTTAGTCGCGAGCACAGCGCTGCTTTGATCACAGCATTAAAACAGTGGGCTTATTAAATGAAGGTTTATCTTCTCAATCATTGACTTAGAACGAGTAGGTGCAAACATAGCACATGGGGTGTGATATGGTGTACAGTGTGTGAGACGGAGCCGGTTTGCCAGCCATATTTACGTTTGTCCAAATCAATTACACCAGTGGATGCAATAAGTTTTATTTGAATAGCTGGGAATGTACGGTCTATAACATTTCAACTTCAAGTGAATCCACCGTACCTTCAAGAGAAACCGTGGTAACTTCAAGTGAATCCAATCAATAGCATTCTACCAGGAGCCCAACAAAGTGATTAGTCCTATTACTGTCACACGTCACCCATTGGGTTGGATCTATTGAAACCCTGCCCCGTCGGAATGAACTGATGTTTTAATAGACAAACAAAACTTATTTATGAGTGAGTTACCGAGGCCGGACTAAAGCTTCGTTGGAGTGTGTTTTGACCGTTATTACCCCCCCCCCTCGCCCCAATCGGGTACGTTGTGTCCTTGACCGTTGATCGTGCGACCTTCAGACGAAAATAAAGGAACTCGGTGGTAATTGGCTTCGGTCGGCCGAGTAAAGATGCGAATCAAGTTAGAAAGGATCCATCAATCAGTCAGCATGCTCAGGCATGAATATCGGGATGAACCATTGAATGAATGGGTTCAGTCTAGGCCCTCACTACTCTAGTGAGTAAATTCCACTGAGGCACAGGTTCCCTTGGATAAGACCAATTCCTTTCAGCCAAAGGCAGTTGCCTACATATTTCTAGCATTTGAAAGCACACTGAAGAATATATTTAACAATGTTGAACGGATACAACGAAAGAAATAGCAGTGTTACACTTCAATAGTACATTTAAATTTGAAGTCATTCACTACCTACCTTGGCAGTAAACCTGTTCCGTGAGAAATGCTTATCACAATATTTCACTACCAGATGTTCTATATTTTCTGATCAAAAATAATTAACACGTGAACTGCACTATGTACGGCTACAGATGCAGCTAATTGATTAAGAACATAGTACAAATCTGCTTTTGAGGTCATTCAAGTTTATATCCGTTTGTTTACTGTCATCAGATTTACCCATGGAGAATCAAGATAATTTGTGTTTCTTGTTCCATAGTGTAAAACGTGGACGGCTTTAAGGGTGCTCATAAATAATATTTCATTCAGGCAAACACCAAATAAAGCTTATTAAACGGTTACTCAGTTCTTCTTTATAGTTTAAATAGTATTTGCTGTTGCAATCGCAAATGCTGAGGAAAATTGTACTTAGGATGAGAAAGGAATTTCAGATTTTTTGGTATGCGTTAAGCACTAATGATAGACGTATTTCTCTAATGATTAACTGGAAGTTGGCATTTTTGTTTAATTTTTAATTATCTGGAAAACGAAAGTGCAGAGATATGATTTAGTTACAGTTTTGACTCAGGATTGCAATCTTCATCTTACAAGAATGCCTCTATCTGACTTGCTGTGTTCGCCTATCTGCATCAGTTCCACCACGGATCACGCGTTCCCCGGTATCGTTTCTCAAAGTGGACGAAGGGGCCAGTTTGGAGATGGATTGTTTAGCCAGTGGTTACCCTGTGCCGGAAACTACTTGGCTTGTAAGGAGCACAAAATCGTCATCTACTTCTTCAGTATCATCTTCCTCATCATCAACATTCGATGATAACGGTGTCGAGAATGCCATGACCGTAATGGATGCTTTTGCCAAATTTGGTGGAAGTGAGTCACTAACCTAGTCAAATGTGATGGTTGTTTTGGGTGACGGGACCATGAATATGCAGAAAAATCTAAGTCAAACGAACCTAGCGATCGCAAAAATCCCTTCATCTAATGATACTCCTTGAGATTTATTGGTAAATGAAATTTGTGTTCTATTGCCGCAGATTTTGGCCACTGGTACATGTAAAACAATCTGCTATTTGAAACAAAGATAGCTCCGTAATCATCATTATAACTTGACCTTTGTCTGCTAACGGTAATTCTCAACAAAGTTCTTAATTGCCGAATAACTTAAGTATATTTTATTGTACGATTAAATGTGTTCAAAATAAGAATATAAATGTTTTCCCTAATTTCCCGGTATCTATTGCAACGTATCGACGTTCAGTAGCGACGACGCACACAATAAACCAATTGCTCCTATCATCGTAAAGTCTGAAATAATGATCGCCTCCAGTGAAATTGGAGTGGGATTCAACTGAACCGTCATCGTGAATGACATCTCAAAATTGATGACCTCACAGCCCACTCGCAAGAGTTAACCTTACTTTGACCTTGAAATGGCACCCGCAGTATGTTTAGGTCGCTTGATCATCTACCCATCCAAATTGACCAAGCCGTACTCGTCAGGCAGCTGGGATTTGCACATATTTTCCCATGATCTACCACCCATGGAGGGGTAAGTACTGAAAGTCCAATTCACTCAATTCTCGTTAATCGAAAGCATTTTATTCCATAATGCGATCATCACAAGCACGTTTGAGAATATTTTTTTCATTCAAAGGGCTTTCCAAAATTGGCAAGATTTTTTTCACCAAAATAGGAATATCAAAACATGATACGTGTTGAAAAATTAGTGTTTCATTTGTGATGTTCTTGGATTCCCGGATTAGAGCAATAATCAGATGACATCATAGTACGCAATAAATATTACCAAAACCATAACATCAAATGATTGTTTTCTATGTCGAACTGTTCTCTTAGTAGATATCTAATAGTACATTGCCAGGGGTGTTTTGTTGCAAATAATTCCCTACGAAACCTGGTGGATAAAACAACTTTGACTGAACTGCATTTAACATCCTCCGGCAAACCATTTTGTTTAGTTCGTCACCAGTTACACCTAAATAAGCCCCAAATTTTCTCTGATATTTTATCATAAAATGTGTGACCGGATTCGTTTTGGTAAATCGATTTTTACTCCCAAACGGTTTGCACGAATCATAACTTCCATCATTATAATCTTTTCAGCTAATAGGGTCACATAAATGCCTATCGAAGGACACTTCTGTAGATTAGCCATAAGATGAAATTTCCGTTATGCGCCATCAAACGAACCAATGCAAACGTTTATTTGTTTTCGGCAACGTAGTGTCCTGCCTTCAACTTCCAACTCAAAATCTCTTTACTTTTATGATTATATGCGTCATCATCATTGTACCGGCATTCATTTGGAGGTCGATCATCAGCAGTGGGGAGTTATAAGTTCTACTTTGTCGGTAGTATTTGCTAGCATTGTATGTTCTTTTCGCCCAGCAATGGCTTATGGGTATGAAGATACATATTTCTTGAGGTTCAAAGAAATAATGTGCTAATTTTCATTTCATTTGTGGCATCGGTACACGCTCTCGATCACATATTCAGTTCCATATCGTTTTCTTCCTCAGCTCCGACAATATATATTTAACCCAGCAGCAGGCGACATAATGAGAGCTCAGAACCTTCGTTTTCCCCTACAGTACGCATTAATGGAGAGAGGTGAACACGACTTAATAGCAATTAATGACCACAGTTCCTTTCGTTTCGTGCAGTCGTGTATATTATAACAGTTATTTTAATGACTTGCTTTAGTGTTGATTCGTTTATGTGTGAAATGTTTCATAAATAACCGTCAAAGAGAAGAATAAATCAACATGAATTTTCTACTTGTTCATCTATTGTCATAAACCAGGGAAATGTATCATTTTACACTCCGTCCTTATACCATGAATTCTAATAAACCCGCGTATTTTTAATGCACATGTCAATGTTAACACAAGCGGATGCGCAATGTTATAAAAAAGAAGGGCTACTTGCAGGTTTTGACATAATATGTTCGCAAACTTGAATAATTGTTGCGGAAAATTTTATTTTTTCTCCTTATGTCTAGTTTCTTCAGGTCTTTCAAGGAGTAATCTCTTTCAGTTTTGTGAATTCGAAACCAAGCTACTGGAGTTTGCACGCAAACCAATAAAAGATCAATAATTTTTTGGAACACCTTTTTTCTTTTTTACTCCAAGTGATAATTTCATAATTCAGCGAACTGCCGTTATTGACTCAATTTAGTTTAACCATCAAACGCTGGGTATTTAATTTTAATTGCAATTGCATAGTAGAGGGAGTACAAGCGGTCACATGTCTTACTGCTTTTTGCAATACTTTATTCTGCTATGCACTCTGTCTCATTTCATATGCCGCGACGCTGAATACCACAAATCGTTTTGTTTTCAGAAATTTTGCTGATAATCAAGGTGGTCTAAAGAGTAGTCTTGCGATAATACTTTGAAAGCATGAAAACGATGGGAAAATGAAGTCGAATCAAGGTGCGTCGTTTAGAATCAGTATAAATTTGTGAACAGCTCAATTCACTCATAATGGTTTTCAAGTGTTAGTCGTTTATCGAGCTGGGTATCTTGATTGAAACATGAAGTACATTTGCCCTAAACCAACCATTGGAAAGTTTGTACATCCAATACATACAGTTCTGCAATTAATTTGGATGGACTGGTGTATAGTGTTACTTGCTCAGTTCATGTGGCTGTACGTTGTTGCCTTATTCATGGTCTATTTCTTTGGAGTCAAGGTGAGATTTCTCTCTGACCGGATCGAACAACAAGGAAAGCATCAGAACGCACCATGAATTATCAGCTATTTTGACTCCTTATTAGAAACAGGTGAATCATGTGAACCTAGGCCGTTGATCAGAGTTTGGAGTTGATATACTTGCTTTGGATGCAAACCGCCTTATTGCCTTCACACATAATGCTATTGATTTGATCCAATAAAACCAGATTCCATGCGATAGGAATAACGAAACTAAATGGTATAAATCATGGGAATTGAGAACTATATACTAATCGTGAACTCTCATGACTAATATTCGGTGACGCTGGATAATACTCTGCAGAGTTTTGTCATCAATGCATGAGTAGGACACCTATTTCTCAGCGAGCGACAATGTATAAACCCGAAATCCACTCTATTCAAATGCCAGACTGCTTATTTAGGCTGGGACAATTGTTTGATTAGGTAAAAGTTATTCCCGTGAATTTGGAGAAAGTTCATTTGGATAGGGAATATATGACATATTTTAGAATCCAGACAATATTTACCACTTTGATAGAGAACCTAAATTTGCATTGTCTTTGGGGATTCATTCAACCTTAATCTGGCATACTCATCTGAAATTGCAGTCCTCAAGTTCCATATAATAATACACATAAACGTCGTGCACTCCATTTGTATCCCGAACAATCTTCTGAATAGGGATAATTAATCTGAAGGGAACTTTGAAAATTTCTCGACTACATCGAAATATGAATCAACGGTTGATTTGCGTGGCCAGCAACGGCGTCAAACCGGATGATCGAAAAACGGTGGATCTTTCAGTTCGATGTAAGTCCCGCTTTGGGTATGCTAATGCTTTCCCTTCACGAATCCATATCCTCTTTTGATTTGAATATTCACATTTTTGGTATTTGGTAATCCCCGAAAATGTGATGAAATGAAGTAGTGGTAAATCAAATATTTTCATTTTAACATCCAAATTGTGCTGCTCTTTTAGATCAAGATTTGGGTGATCGGTTTGAATATGCTCATTTTACCATCCACCAGTAGCCGGGTTGATTTTCTTTTCTTTGGTGGGTGCTCGTTTCTATTGCAATAAATAATCGACCTCCTGGCGCCAGACAATGAATTGTCCTGGACATAGATAAACCTTAAAATCAAAAAGAAACCTTTCGTCGACAGAAGCTGTTCAAATTTGATTAGTACTTTCCATTTTGCTTTATCAAAACCCCGCAAGGTATTAGCCGATACTGGCAGAGAGTAATTTGTTTATGTATGAAACGACTCGTTCATTTTTCATATAATGGCGGTTGTGTGTAACGTTGAAGTCACTAACCAGGGTAAAGGTTTAATTTAGCAGACTCGGTGGGGCATTAGAGGAAGGACTTCCGGTATCGTCACCATGATTTCCTGTGGCCATTGTTTTTCTCATCTGTTGTATTTGGGTAACTCAAAACATCTGTTTCCTATGCACAGTTACACATTAGATTTCTCGTGGACCCCACTCAACAGTTCGTGTTTGTGAGTAAAACACTGCGAATGTACAGAGCAGTTCATAACTGTCAGAAACATTACCAAATGTGCCTGATTTTGGGTGTACAAGGATAGCGATAAAGAGCAAAGTGGTATGCATTCCTGACCTGTGTAAAGCGCATGAGTGTTTGAACTTACATCATACTAGAAATTTTACATCGTGCTTAATCTGAACTACCGCACGATGCGCAATTCGTGACTGTTCGGTCAAACCTTCGGTATCGCCTATGCAGGGTATAGACCATTTAATTGTACTTTAGTTTTCACCGACCAACTATAATTGCCTGAAATCAAACGTAGCGCGCATTCATTAATACTGCATTAACTCTGTACTTAATTAATGGTGTCTGCTGGTTAGTAGTCGTGCATGCAGGCATCTGCTATCACACAATAGCAATTGATGTATACGAATTCTTGTGGTTCCTTATACATTTGAATTCATTTTATTGAATACATGTTTGAACAAATAATTTCTCGGAATTTGAAAGTGGAACAACGAGATAGAGTACATTTGGGCAACATTAGTGGGGTTCGAACATAGGAACAACAGGGCACTATGTTTGTGATGCGTTCCGATTTACAACAGTAGCTTTAAGATGTTGGCAGTGTCCAGGGCTTGATGTGGAAAACGGTAACACCAAGTGCCAAGTTATGCCGTGTACCTCATTACGATTGAATTATTTTTATTGGAAGACCAAGCATGTTTCGAATGATTTATAATCCTGTATATGCGGTTCATTTAGAATTTTTGTTGGTCAGTTAGAACAAGATTGGACTGCGGAGGGACTCCCAGCCTCAAATGGCTACTTCTCCATGTTAATTGTGTTCAAGTGAAATCGATTCTGACTAGAGTGATGGTAGTAATAATCAAAATGAAGCTAGAGTATCTGGTATCTCCTTTCTGTGCATGGATTAGTTGAGTGTAAAAATGCAAATGTCTTCAAAATCAGCGATGATTGAAGCTTAGTTGGGCTCCCTTGGTGGGGGGTCAAACAAGAAAAAATTTCCTGGACTAGGATGTTGGTTTTCCTCGATAATCTGTAACAGCCAAAATGACCAAAATTGGTGCCTAAATTATTCTTCGTGTCTTCTCATCTTAACTATTGAGGATGTTACACTTTCATTTTCTGTTGCAGTTGTAGGTGTACGTTTCAAACATGAATGAGCAGAGTAACCTGAACGTAGACAGTCAAATTGATGTTTCTGTGACTTGATTCAGTTGCTCCCCAGTCTATGAATACATATGAGATGCTTTGTGGATCAGCTTCACGAGCGTACAATTTATGCTGGTTTTGGAGAACAGAAACAGCATGTACTGTAAAACGTGTAATGATCTCCATCCTCCGCGTTTCTTTTGATAACCGTTTTCCACAATTAATTCATTAAAATTGCGTCCGCTATTGGTCCAAAATTTAACCAAACGCTGCGTCAACTTTCCTTCTATCCGATTGGAGCGAAACAGTGGAGGTTGATAAACGATTGTATACTCATCGTTCTGAACGCCAGCCATTGTTTTGGAGTTTTGTTNCATACTTAGGGGGGAAATTTGTTGTTTTTCTCTTTTTCCGCGGAAACGAAACAATTAATGGACCTTGTTGGAAGTGTTTTATAAGCTTGTTAAATTGATTGGTGTGCGTATCATGGGCCATGTCCAGAAACATTGAAAACGTTGCTTCGTCGTGAGACTTGCGCATTCATATTTACAGGGGTATATTTTAGAATGTGGAACATAATTGGTAAAGGTTTGTTGAATTAACTGATTTTCCAATGTAAAACTGCCCTGAAATAGTTATGTAGCTTGGTACCTTACTGCTGTGACCAATGCCAGTTCGCAGCTAATATGATCTACCTGAATTGTGGATTGTGTCGTTCAAGAGTAAAGAATTTTTCCACCAACCCAATTGTTCTCTGTTCAAGTCCCGATAGAGAAAAGATTTTGTGGAATTAACCCTGAAAAGAAACAGCTATCTGGTGCTAGTACAAACTGATTTTCACTCAAGAGATACGATGAATCCAGTGGGTGTTCACTGCACTATCATGGCCTGCCATATTTACATTAAAAATGTCATTGCATTTTCACTGGACTTGTGCCCATTCTAACACGGATATGTAGCTTTGTGCTTTACATGCGTAAACAAACATTGACCCAAAAGGCTAGAGGGCAGGCGATGCAAAAATATGTAGAACTGTGACGAAACCTGGAGATTCACTGGCACTTCAGAAATTACTTAGTGCTATATAGCCTGGGTCAATAAAAACCGATATCTAACCCAATGCATAACACTGAAAGGTCGTATCATTTTGCAAAAAATCGCAGTTTCCGTACATCCTGGGATATGATTAACTTCAGTATGCCTTCAATGAGAAAGATCGTAGTGTCATTGTTCAATGTGATCTAAGTTGTTCTTGAAACTGCTCCAGGGCGTCGTCCACCGCTACAAGACCTGTTGGTCTGCCGAAGTGTGTATTTGGAATGTTTGAGACTACGCAGCCTAGGTTCGGCCTCGCATTAGTGTACACCATTCATCAGTGGAATCCATGGTTGCAACGCGATCGCAAGATTCTTGTACCTCCATAATGAATGGTCACCAAAATGGTCGAGAGAATGCACTCCATGACTAATGCAGAAAGACAGGAATCATTGAGGTTCTACTTCATAGAGTAGGGCTGATTTTGAAGGCACTTGATTTTGCTGTATCCAATAATGCAGAACCCTGATCATCTATGGCATTTGCTTTTTTTCTAGCCGTTAAACACTCATCTAAGTGATACTAATTCAAATTGGCGCCCAAAATCTGTCAACTAGAATAGCGAA